AGACTAGTGACGTCAGCGCTGTTTCACCGTTGAGCTCAACGGTCTCAACGACCTGAAAGACCGTTGAGTAGTCAACAAACTAACATGGCGGCTTCCACGAAAAAGTAAATTTCGCTTATAGAAACTATCCATTCGCTGCTGTGGATGCTGTAATAGCGAACAGATTAATGAACAATCTGTATATGATAAAACACGTGATTGCACGATTATGTTGGATAATTTGGTCAATATTGAAATATTAAGATTTTTTCATTTGTCCAAAATTGATTACGACCGATATTTGGCCCGCTAAGTCTTCCTAATGATATAAATATTCAAGAAATTAATTAAAATTATTAATTAAAAAAAGACCCAGTATACAAAAAAAAATGATACAGATACGGGTTCATTTGAATAAAAGGATTTATTCGAATAATGGTTAAGCGAGTTACTTTAATTATTTAGCAAAACAGTCACAATCGCCACCTTCTCGTTACTGAAGTCAGCCATCTTGAAAAGCGACCTCTCAACGAAAGCGTTTCTTTTTTCTGCAAAACGTGACGTCAGATCGTTCAACGGAGGGACTCAACGGAAAATTCACTGTTGAGTCAACCGTTGAATATAGAAACGTATGGTATATTGATAATCATGAGGTAACAAGACCGCTTGGGCCAGACGTCCGGGTCTCCGATTCGAACAAAACCTGGTGAGCACGTAGCTTTAAACACAAGCAGCTCCTTGTTCAAATAATATGATCCACTTTTCAAGCGTTTTCCAAAAATTGGGCCTCTAAAAATTTAGTGTTCAGTTTATGAGTCTTTGGAAGTTTCATGTCTCTTGCGGCCACAGCCAAGTGGTTAAATAAAAATCTTAAAAAAGATAAACTGCTGTCTTGTCGAGCCTTCAAACCTTAACACTCCGTTCGGCCGGGCGGTGGTGAAAAATAAAAGATAACTGAAATTTTAAATAAGAGTTTATTCAAAATTCTAAAAATATTTAATAGTTCCGCGACATACTTGAGATACTCTTGCGACACACGGGTTGGGAAACACTAGTCTAGTCCAAGAGACTAAACGACTTTGATGAAAAATAACGGTTCCAAGAATCAGTTCCAGTATCAGAAGCGGAACTGGATTTCCCACCATTATCACAGCGTGCTATTCTCGCCGGTCGGATGGCCGCTAAGGCGTCAACCTACCGCTCTGGGAGACCCAGAATCGAATCCGGGTGGGCGTCTCCAAAAATTCTCCGAAGGATAGGCTGTTGCAGAAATTTCAGGCCAGATCCCTCATTACCCGCCTTCCCGTCGTGGGCCTGTCCGAACCAATGGGTTTGCTAAAAAGATCCTCTTAATGACTACAGGGACAAGAGTTAAAAAAAAAACAGCCTTGAAAAATCATAAATTATAAAAATGTACGTAATAAATTAATAATAATACATGTAGTTAAATATTATAATTTTATAATATTAATATTCAATTTATTTTATAAATTAATATTTAGTAAAAATTCTTATGAATTTTAAAATGAGCTTAATCTAATTCAGATGGCGCTGTTGAGCTTTATCTATGCCTACGAAAGAAAGGTCGGAACACGTGTATATCATGGTGCAATAGACAGATTCGAAATTTTATAATTTCATCATCATGAGCGATTCCGATTCTATCGATACGGTAAGTATTCTTTAAAACTGTAATCTATCCAAGTATTCTTTAAAACTGTAATCTATCATTTTTTAAACATACACTGTATCACTTATTTACAATGATTAAACAAAAGATTGCATATAAAGTCAACGGAAATGGTCAAGATATTTAGAATTTCTTGAAAACGAATTTCTTGAATTTCTACTTTATTCAAAATTAACTGATTTCTAAAAGCCAAATATTCATCTTCAGAAATCTTTTATTAGCTAGAAAGTGATATTACAAATTTGCTGTTTTGATTTTAATTAAACAGATGTCATTATTAATGCATTTTCCATTATTCTATAAATTAATAAAATGAAAGCAGCAAAACTAATGTAATATATTTTTTTTTTAGCTACCTAACAAGAGTGACAACATTTCTCTTGATCATACTGTAGTTTCTACTAATTTTGAATGTATTTGTATTACTATATTTTCAAATTTTAATCTGAAGACACTTAAAATAACAAAAATGAAAGTATTCATTAGATTTATTATTTTTTTTCGATTATTTTGGAAAAGTATCATAAGTAAAACTTTAAAGAATGGCACACATCAGTTGCTATGATATAACTTATAACACTACAACTATATTATATCACATACTTAATGCAGCATTGAATAAATGAAGCTCACGCTATATAGTTTATACTACACTATAAGTTGTATGGGAGTCTTTTATAGCATTATATATGTAGTGCTGTTATATATTATAGCAGTCAGTGTATGCTAGTCTTTGGTCATATTATTAAATTTTTTGGCAAGAAAGAAAAATTCTTTATTCATCATTTGAAGTTATGTCCAATTCTGGCATTCTGTGCTGTTTGCTAAACATCACATAATGCCAGAATTGGATATAAGTAAAATTAAAACATTTCACAATTTTATAATATATATTGTATGTAAAATATAGTTTTCTATATTACGATACAAATCTTTTTGATTAAAATAGGATGTAGAAGAGACTGTGTGTGAAAGATTGGAAAATGGAGATGGGAAAGCTCCAAATGACATTGAATTTGACGATGTTGTTGTCGACATCTCACTTCATCCGTCGAAAGATGTTATTGCTGCTGGAACAATGGATGGTGACATTTTTGTGTAAGTTTACAAATATTAAGTTAAATATTCTGAGTTGAAGATTATTAAATGTTTCTCAAATTTCAAGTTATAATGGTAACTATATAATTGTATATATGTATCTATAGTAAAACTTCTCTAACTCAAAGCTCCAAGGGGCAGGAAAAAAGTTACAGATGATTTGAGACACAGAATAATAGAGTAAAAAATGCCGATTTTGAATAATTTGTTATGGTTAATAAATAATTCTCAATGGGATAAGGTGTTGTTATGGAAGTTGAAAAACATATAGCTGGGTATTAATTAAGATTTAAAAATTGTCAAAAACATTTTTTTCATTATTTTTAGTAAGTATAATTTGTGCTGGATATTTCTGGTATAGTTATGTGCATTGGACTTAATCCAGTTGTACATAGTATTTATTTTTAATTTGTGATGCTTTGAATAAATCTGAATATGTTGACTATATTGAAAAAAGATTGGGCTGATCTCATTACAGCAATGAGTGATGAAAAAGTGTCTTTTTCATCACTCACTGTGATGAAAATGACACTTTTGTCAATGTTGACAATGATCTAAGTGTCTGTGGATATTTGTCTGAAAACAATATCATTGTTGAAGTAAAGAACCAAGTGAAAAAAACAAGCAATGAAAATGAGGAAGAAATAAATCTTGTTAACAACAAATATCTGCTTCCTCTACATTGGGCTCTACTTTCAATGGGTTTTCTGGAAACTAAATTAGTCATAAAACAAGTTGTTTTAGTGGCTTTTTAGATAGAATCAAAACATTTTTATCAATAATTCATTGCGTATTGCTCAACAAACTCATCTTGACACTTTTTTCACTGACAGTGTTAATTTTATTTTGTACATATATATTAGGGTGTCCCTTATTTTTCGAATATTTTTTTTCTAATGCATATGGCCTAGTTTTGTTTATTTTACCCTTAAATACTCACACAATAAATTTCAGCTCATTCTGGTCATTCTGGTAACTTTCATCGAATCATGCCCATACATGTTGCGCTAGAGAAGTGGCACGTATTTGCTTTCTTTGCCATTCTAACACAACTTGTCGGGCTATTAACATGTATAGTTTTATTTTTCGAAGATGTCAGTGGAATTATGAAGTACTAAAAAACAAATTTTCTTAGTTGGAGAGATAAACCACCAAATCACAGTTGCAAAACTACCATCAAATTGGCTAGTACTCTCAGTTTTGTTTTTTAACATTCACGAAGTTAAATTAACTGTGAGTGAAAGCACAAATCTTGTAATATGCGAATGTATTATATTTTAGAAAAAAGCTAGAATACCTACAAAATCTATACATAACTGTGTCAAGAAATTGGTGGATCTTTATCACCTATGGAGAGAGTTGCAAAAAAACAGTAAGAAAACTCAAGATGTTTATAAGTGCTGCGAGAAAACTTTCCAAATAGCATTAGTTAACTTACTTGATATTGCACACGCCGATGCCCTCGAACATATGACAATAGAGGAAGATAAAAAATTCTTACAAAAACAGAGAGAACAGGGCATCTGGGCTGCTTAGCAGGTGTATATAAAAAAACTGGCTGAAAAAGAAGAAAGGGCAAGGCAAAGAAAAATAGAAGTAGAGAGAAAAAGGCTCAAAAATATTTCTATGAAGACTGCATCGACTTCTTCAATATTGCATGATTTATCACCACTCCAGGAACTATACGACAGTTCTCATAGCTCTGACAATAGTCTGGATGAGCTTTTTTCTCGGGAATTGAATACTGTTCTGTCTGAAGCTAGTTTAAAAAGAGGAAGAAAGGATTTCATTACACCTAAACTAGTTGCAGCTTTAGACAGATGCCAGTTGAGCATTAGAGATTCCGTTTATATTCTTCATACTACAGTAGAAGCACTAGGACTTCGTATTGATGAATTTTCAATCAACAAATCTTCACTTCAACAGATTCGGACACAAGTGAGGAAGGACAGAGCAGAAGCCATAAAATCTGATTTTGAGGATGATGTGCCACAAGTAGTCACCATTCATTGGGATGACAAATTGTTACCTGGCTTGAACATTAGAAGTTTTAAAGAAGAGCACCTACCAATTCTTATTTCATTTGGAGAGAGGGAACAACTGCTTGCTGTACCAATACTGAACAGACTGTTCTTCTGGTAAACACCAAGCCAAAGCAGTTTTGAATGCGCTCTATAATTGGAATTTAAATGACAAGGTACAGATAATGTGTTGTGACACAACAGCATCCAATATGGGTCGCTTAAATGGAGCTTGTGTGCTATTAGAACAAAAGCTAGAAAGAGAGCTGTTATTCTTTGCTTGTTGCCATCATATATGTGAGCTAGTTTTAAGAAGTGTGTTTGAAACAAATATCCCCCAAGTTACTTACAGCCTTGATATTCTGATATTCAAAAAATTTAAAGACTCTTGGAAAAGCATTGATTCTATGAACATACAAATGTGCATTGATTTTGTAAAATAACATTTCAATGACGCAGAAATTGATCAATTATTATCTTTTTATGTGAGAGAACTTCAAAAATCTATTGTGAGAGATGATTATTGCAAATTAGTCAAGTTATCTATAACAGTGGTTCCCAATTAGTTTTTCCTGTGTACCACTTCAAGAAAGAACTCAAACTCGCATACCCCTTATAGCAGAAATTCATATTAATCCATACTAATATAAATTTGAAGGTAATTCTGATTGTCTGTCTGTTACCTTTTCACGTCTAAACCGCTGAACAGGTTTTAATAAATTTTGGCACAGAGATAGCTTACATGTTGGAGATGAACATAGGCTACATTTTATTGCGAGAAAATATCTTACTCCCACAAGAAAATTCGATATAATGCGGGCGAAGCTGTGGGTAGACAGCTAGTGATAAATAGAATATATTTCTTTTTTTTACATTTATTACCTTTAAAATACAATTCTAAAAATAATGAAAATAACATGAGGTTATTTAATTTTAATGTGACAAATGTGTGCGATTTTCTTTGTACAACTTTGTAAAATTTGGTTGCTGTTTGGTCAGCTTCAGTCCCAAGTCATCTTTGAATTGGAATCAGTGACGATGTTTAGTTTCCATGTTTGTCATGGCCGAAAATCCACTCTCGCAGAGGTATGTTGTGCAAAATGGTACAAAATATTTTATTACCGCTTCGCTGACATGATAATAATGATAATTGTACAATTAACACAATTTGTGTTAGTTGAACAAATTGTACAATTTTTGTTTCTTGCGTAAGAATTTCATTTAGGTATTGTCACAAATGCATTTTTTTTAAATGAAATTTGGAGAATATTTTTAGTTATAAAGGAATTTGTGCATTCGACATCATGTAAATTGCCGAATTTTTGATGGTTCACCCATTATTTTTTGATTGCGTCATCTCATGCATTTACATTTTAAATCGACTAATTTTAGATTGCTGCACGTACCCCTTCATGCAATTTCGTGTACTCCTGGAGATACGCATACCACTAATTGGGAACCATTGATCTATAATATTTTTGGGGGGAGATAAAGAAAAAAAAAGATTAAAATCAGGCCTCCAGGTGCAATGCATCAAGCAAGGTGGATTTATTTATACTTTTTACTCTTTGAAAGTATGTTTGATGCATTCCAAAGTCAGAATGAACGCCAAGGACAAATGAGCATTTCAAGACGTTTGCTTATTTATTGTAACAGTTTACATAAAACCCTGGCTTGGATGCGACTTGGCAGTACAGGCGTCGTATCAAGATTTGTGCTTTTTAAAAACATTAAAAAAATATGAAAAAGTTGACAAATTACTTTCCCAGGTAGCTTTGACCAAGTTTTGTCAACACTTGTGGTACTTATCTGAGGAAATAGCCATATTATCACTATTCAATGATTTAGTCAACGAAACAACCAAGATGAAAATAATAGCTAACTTGGAATGGGAAAGTATATCTGATTTTGGGAAAAGGTTTATTTCATCAAAAGAAGAAATAGCCAGCTCTTTGTATGGTATGTAGAACTACATGTTTTGTTTGTACTTTAATTACAGTACTGTATATCTTATTTAAACTATACCTACTTTTTGTTTCAGGATTGTTTTGTGTCTAGGAAGAGCAAAAATCTGTTTACTAGGTTAAAAATTAAAAGCAATTTCCTTCAGGAAAGTGTTTCTTCATGGGAAGAAAATGCTTCTTTTGTGAAAGCTAAAAGAAAGGTCCTTTTTCTCAAGGCGGTGAATGATACAGCTGAAAGAGCTGTTAAATTAGTGCAAGATTTTCATGGGTTAATTACCGCAGATGAAGAACAGAAGCAGTTTCTTTTACACTGTGTGCAAGAACACAGAAAACTGTATCCAGACTGTAAAAAGGAGACATTGAATAGAAAATATCCACAATAATTTACATTCATACAAATTTTAAATATTCTTTGTTGTCTGATTTCCTTATTTACCCAATTATTTAATATTACAATGATCTAGTCATGTATATATATATATGTATGTATTATAATGATGTAGTTGAGTGATAGTCAAAAATGACTTTATAAAAACTTTGAGGTTTAGTTGGCACAGGTTATTGTCATCGTAGGGGATCAATATTTTATATGTAAGTAAGTCTTAGCGATTTGAAAAGAATTAAGGAGTATGTGTTTAAAAATTCGAAAAAAAATTTTTTTCTCCATATAAGGGACACCCTAATATATATATCTAAAAGTAATAAAACACAACATATTTAAGTTTAACTGTATTGATTGTATTTAGTATAATAATTGTCTGTTAGTATAATAAATTAGTAACATTTTAATGCTGTAATTGAGAATCATGAAGCAGTATGTTTTAAAATATTAATATTTTACACTTTTTTATTTTAGATATTCCTATTCAGAAGAGGGTCCAAATCACGAATTAATAACATTAAACCATCACAAGAAATGTTGTCGAGCTTTGAGTTTCTCTCATGATGGTAATCTTTTGTTCAGCACATCCAGAGACAAATCAATAAAAATAGTCGACATGAATGCAGGGTCATTGAGTCACAAAATAATCAAAGCCCACGAGTAAGTAAAGATCATAATTAAATTGCATTTAACATTATTTAAATAATAACATTTTTACTTTCCTGGCTGTTATGTATATGTAACAAGAGAAATGAGTTCTTTGCAAATCTCCCAAGTTTTGAGACCTGAATCCAAAACTGTCAAAAAAAATTCCATGGGTGTGTGTGTGTGTGTGTGTTTTTTTTTTTTTTTTTTACAAATAAGTGCACTACTCCTATGGAGTATAACACTGAGAAATACATAAACCAAGAAATGAAAAATGATACAAAATAATAATAAAATAAGAATTCTACTTTTAGTGAAAACTGAAATGCTAGTCTAGAAATTAGAAATAGTCTTTTCTTCCATATTTCTTGAACATAGTTGTGAAAAGCATCAAACAGTGGCTTCTGAACTAGCTTGTCGAGTGGACATGGCCACCTGAAACCAAGAGTAAAGATTTTTAATTTCAGAATAAGTCTATTTTGTTCATAAATTGGACAATGATAGATCATGTGGTCGATGGTGTCTAGGTTTCCTGTATAACAAAGGCAAAAAGCAGTTTCTGCAGGGTTATACATAGCCAGGTAGCTTCTAAAATACTGTTTCTCAACGTGCCTCGTGGGACATGGGCCTCACGTTGAGAAACAGTATTTGAGTACAGTGGGTGATCGGTTAATGAACATAATCTGTTCCAAGACTTTGTTCATTATCTGAATTGTTCATTAACCAATTATCGATTTATCATAGGTTTTCATGGGAATTTGATTAATTTGTACCGGAGACTCCAAAAAATAAAAAAATATATGCTTTTACTATGTTTATTTATATGTAATAGTAAATAAATAAATATATATATATATATGCAGTCTTGCATTTTTATTAGTCATGTTTTTTCCATTTGTGGGTGTTAAAGAATCTGTCCAATGTCAATTGTTTTTCTCTTTTCTTCAGGATTTTTTGGAAGTAATTAATAGTATTGTAATTGTAGAGATCCCCAACCCCATTAGCCTTATTCTGGTTTGGATGCCACTTGGATGATCGTTGTTCTGACATCCCTGGACTTCTTATATCGTTAGATCAGTTTCAGGTTACATTATGAGATCTAAAATGCTCTTTATTTCTCAGATGTGATTTTCATTACTCCATTAACAGCTTGAGACTTCTTGATATATCTTTCATAGCTAAGATTGTACCTACTGTAGACCTGTTCGAGCCATACTGTCTAGCAACATCAGACATCTCTCACCCACTTTCTACCTTAGCTATTTTCTCTTACTTGGTTTCTATGGTGAGCACAGTTCTTGACACTTCTCTTTTTAGGCATCTTAATATCATCAGTTTCTTTTTTAATTAAAAAGTTCAGAAAAGCACTTACAAAAATTCATAGAACAGAAATCAACTAGTCCACAAAAAATTATTTAAATACAAGGCCCGAATGAAATTCGAAATTTGGTATTAAAACGTTAACAAATATCTGATGAGACAGTTAAACTTTCGCCTTTCGTAAATAAACCCTGATGCAAAACTTAACAAGTGCCCATCCGACAGTCTCGCAAATACTATAGAAATTATTTGTCAGAAACGTAAACAAAAAGCTGGAATTACAAGGGAGAGTTTCAAAATTCGGAGGGATACTATCTGATCGATAACGGGTTGAGCATCGCCATCGATGTTGAAGTCTCCCATGCTCCGAAAGGTTTCGAATTGTTACCTGAAGATAAGGGAAAATCAATCGGTATTTGTTATTTTCCGTCGCTTCTTTTTATGTTTGTTTAGTAAAAAGTTCGTTATCCAAACATGTGTTCATTGTCCGATCATAAAAATCTTTCATGAAAGTGTTCGTTATCCGATTTGTTTGCTACCTGAACTGTTTGTTAACCGATCATGCACTGTAATAAATTATCTATTAGTTATGTATAAATACAGTATTTTGACAAATATTTTCTTTATTTGAAGTTATTAAATTTGTTTTTTTTTTATATTGGCATCTATTTTGTTTAATATCTCAGAATGGGGTAAAGATTGAGAAACAAAATTTGGCATAGGTTTTTTTTTTTTTTTTGATAGTTCATGACTGCTTCCCTCAAAATTCATGAAACAATGTATTTGAAAGCTTGAGATAAAAATGTTTTGTGATCTTTAATCACTAGCAAAAAAATTATTTTTTTTTTTGAGATCCTATAAGATAGTGGCATATTTCAAATTATGTTTGAATGTAATGCCATTTAAAGGATAATTAGTATGAGCCGCCGGGGAGGTTGGGACTTCTTCCCGGTGACCTACTTTCTTGTCAAGGATGGCATACCATTCAGTTACGCGTTACGCGAATGGAGAGAGTCGGAGGGATCGACGATAAGGGGTGAGCAAAGTCGAGTAACGACACCATTTAAAAACAAAACAACGGTTTATTTAATGTGCTAACTAAATAAAATTTTACAAAAACTCCACGGAGAGAGAGAGAGAGTTTACAATAATAAGCGTTCATACCTCTTAGCATATACTAGTGGGATATTTTCCCGTAAGGTCGTCCAAATGGATACTGGGCGGTGACCCAAGAATAGGTCGGCGACGAAAGTGTAGGTCAGCGATGGGAGTGTATGGCTGTGATGGAGAAGGCGATGTTTGACTTCAACGTTCGGCGAATCCCCCGAGAGGAGAAGGAGGATGGCTTTTATACATTTTGTGGTGGGAAAATTTGTCAGGTGACCAATTGTTTTCGCAGGTGTGGGGTTAAAATTGGTGTTAAAATGACAACAATATGACGAATTTCATCGATAATTGTAAACTATTCACGGATTGATCATGAGAATGTTTATAGTTAAATAGAAAGAGTTATAATTTTCTCATGCACCTCAAATTTCGTTTCTGCAGGTGCAACTTCCTCTAGTTAAAGGAATTTATTAAAAATTTAAAGGATTAAATGCTTTTATTACATTCTATAAACCTCAAATTTCACATTAGTAACAATGTTAATAACNTTTTAAAATGAGCTTAATCTAATTCAGATGGCGCTGTTGAGCTTTATCTATGCCTACGAAAGAAAGGTCGGAACACGTGTATATCATGGTGCAATAGACAGATTCGAAATTTTATAATTTCATCATCATGAGCGATTCCGATTCTATCGATACGGTAAGTATTCTTTAAAACTGTAATCTATCCAAGTATATCGATCCAAGTATTCTTTAAAACTGTAATCTATCATTTTTTAAACATACACTGTATCACTTATTTACAATGATTAAACAAAAGATTGCATATAAAGTCAACGGAAATGGTCAAGATATTTAGAATTTCTTGAAAACGAATTTCTTGAATTTCTACTTTATTCAAAATTAACTGATTTCTAAAAGCCAAATATTCATCTTCAGAAATCTTTTATTAGCTAGAAAGTGATATTACAAATTTGCTGTTTTGATTTTAATTAAACAGATGTCATTATTAATGCATTTTCCATTATTCTATAAATTAATAAAATGAAAGCAGCAAAACTAATGTAATATATTTTTTTTTTAGCTACCTAACAAGAGTGACAACATTTCTCTTGATCATACTGTAGTTTCTACTAATTTTGAATGTATTTGTATTACTATATTTTCAAATTTTAATCTGAAGACACTTAAAATAACAAAAATGAAAGTATTCATTAGATTTATTATTTTTTTTCGATTATTTTGGAAAAGTATCATAAGTAAAACTTTAAAGAATGGCACACATCAGTTGCTATGATATAACTTATAACACTACAACTATATTATATCACATACTTAATGCAGCATTGAATAAATGAAGCTCACGCTATATAGTTTATACTACACTATAAGTTGTATGGGAGTCTTTTATAGCATTATATATGTAGTGCTGTTATATATTATAGCAGTCAGTGTATGCTAGTCTTTGGTCATATTATTAAATTTTTTGGCAAGAAAGAAAAATTCTTTATTCATCATTTGAAGTTATGTCCAATTCTGGCATTCTGTGCTGTTTGCTAAACATCACATAATGCCAGAATTGGATATAAGTAAAATTAAAACATTTCACAATTTTATAATATATATTGTATGTAAAATATAGTTTTCTATATTACGATACAAATCTTTTTGATTAAAATAGGATGTAGAAGAGACTGTGTGTGAAAGATTGGAAAATGGAGATGGGAAAGCTCCAAATGACATTGAATTTGACGATGTTGTTGTCGACATCTCACTTCATCCGTCGAAAGATGTTATTGCTGCTGGAACAATGGATGGTGACATTTTTGTGTAAGTTTACAAATATTAAGTTAAATATTCTGAGTTGAAGATTATTAAATGTTTCTCAAATTTCAAGTTATAATGGTAACTATATAATTGTATATATGTATCTATAGTAAAACTTCTCTAACTCAAAGCTCCAAGGGGCAGGAAAAAAGTTACAGATGATTTGAGACACAGAATAATAGAGTAAAAAATGCCGATTTTGAATAATTTGTTATGGTTAATAAATAATTCTCAATGGGATAAGGTGTTGTTATGGAAGTTGAAAAACATATAGCTGGGTATTAATTAAGATTTAAAAATTGTCAAAAACATTTTTTTCATTATTTTTAGTAAGTATAATTTGTGCTGGATATTTCTGGTATAGTTATGTGCATTGGACTTAATCCAGTTGTACATAGTATTTATTTTTAATTTGTGATGCTTTGAATAAATCTGAATATGTTGACTATATTGAAAAAAGATTGGGCTGATCTCATTACAGCAATGAGTGATGAAAAAGTGTCTTTTTCATCACTCACTGTGATGAAAATGACACTTTTGTCAATGTTGACAATGATCTAAGTGTCTGTGGATATTTGTCTGAAAACAATATCATTGTTGAAGTAAAGAACCAAGTGAAAAAAACAAGCAATGAAAATGAGGAAGAAATAAATCTTGTTAACAACAAATATCTGCTTCCTCTACATTGGGCTCTACTTTCAATGGGTTTTCTGGAAACTAAATTAGTCATAAAACAAGTTGTTTTAGTGGCTTTTTAGATAGAATCAAAACATTTTTATCAATAATTCATTGCGTATTGCTCAACAAACTCATCTTGACACTTTTTTCACTGACAGTGTTAATTTTATTTTGTACATATATATTAGGGTGTCCCTTATTTTTCGAATATTTTTTTTCTAATGCATATGGCCTAGTTTTGTTTATTTTACCCTTAAATACTCACACAATAAATTTCAGCTCATTCTGGTCATTCTGGTAACTTTCATCGAATCATGCCCATACATGTTGCGCTAGAGAAGTGGCACGTATTTGCTTTCTTTGCCATTCTAACACAACTTGTCGGGCTATTAACATGTATAGTTTTATTTTTCGAAGATGTCAGTGGAATTATGAAGTACTAAAAAACAAATTTTCTTAGTTGGAGAGATAAACCACCAAATCACAGTTGCAAAACTACCATCAAATTGGCTAGTACTCTCAGTTTTGTTTTTTAACATTCACGAAGTTAAATTAACTGTGAGTGAAAGCACAAATCTTGTAATATGCGAATGTATTATATTTTAGAAAAAAGCTAGAATACCTACAAAATCTATACATAACTGTGTCAAGAAATTGGTGGATCTTTATCACCTATGGAGAGAGTTGCAAAAAAACAGTAAGAAAACTCAAGATGTTTATAAGTGCTGCGAGAAAACTTTCCAAATAGCATTAGTTAACTTACTTGATATTGCACACGCCGATGCCCTCGAACATATGACAATAGAGGAAGATAAAAAATTCTTACAAAAACAGAGAGAACAGGGCATCTGGGCTGCTTAGCAGGTGTATATAAAAAAACTGGCTGAAAAAGAAGAAAGGGCAAGGCAAAGAAAAATAGAAGTAGAGAGAAAAAGGCTCAAAAATATTTCTATGAAGACTGCATCGACTTCTTCAATATTGCATGATTTATCACCACTCCAGGAACTATACGACAGTTCTCATAGCTCTGACAATAGTCTGGATGAGCTTTTTTCTCGGGAATTGAATACTGTTCTGTCTGAAGCTAGTTTAAAAAGAGGAAGAAAGGATTTCATTACACCTAAACTAGTTGCAGCTTTAGACAGATGCCAGTTGAGCATTAGAGATTCCGTTTATATTCTTCATACTACAGTAGAAGCACTAGGACTTCGTATTGATGAATTTTCAATCAACAAATCTTCACTTCAACAGATTCGGACACAAGTGAGGAAGGACAGAGCAGAAGCCATAAAATCTGATTTTGAGGATGATGTGCCACAAGTAGTCACCATTCATTGGGATGACAAATTGTTACCTGGCTTGAACATTAGAAGTTTTAAAGAAGAGCACCTACCAATTCTTATTTCATTTGGAGAGAGGGAACAACTGCTTGCTGTACCAATACTGAACAGACTGTTCTTCTGGTAAACACCAAGCCAAAGCAGTTTTGAATGCGCTCTATAATTGGAATTTAAATGACAAGGTACAAATAATGTGTTGTGACACAACAGCATCCAATATGGGTCGCTTAAATGGAGCTTGTGTGCTATTAGAACAAAAGCTAGAAAGAGAGCTGTTATTCTTTGCTTGTTGCCATCATATATGTGAGCTAGTTTTAAGAAGTGTGTTTGAAACAAATATCCCCCAAGTTACTTACAGCCTTGATATTCTGATATTCAAAAAATTTAAAGACTCTTGGAAAAGCATTGATTCTATGAACATACAAATGTGCATTGATTTTGTAAAATAACATTTCAATGACGCAGAAATTGATCAATTATTATCTTTTTATGTGAGAGAACTTCAAAAATCTATTGTGAGAGATGATTATTGCAAATTAGTCAAGTTATCTATAACAGTGGTTCCCAATTAGTTTTTCCTGTGTACCACTTCAAGAAAGAACTCAAACTCGCATACCCCTTATAGCAGAAATTCATATTAATCCATACTAATATAAATTTGAAGGTAATTCTGATTGTCTGTCTGTTACCTTTTCACGTCTAAACCGCTGAACAGGTTTTAATAAATTTTGGCACAGAGATAGCTTACATGTTGGAGATGAACATAGGCTACATTTTATTGCGAGAAAATATCTTACTCCCACAAGAAAATTCGATATAATGCGGGCGAAGCTGTGGGTAGACAGCTAGTGATAAATAGAATATATTTCTTTTTTTTTACATTTATTACCTTTAAAATACAATTCTAAAAATAATGAAAATAACATGAGGTTATTTAATTTTAATGTGACAAATGTGTGCGATTTTCTTTGTACAACTTTGTAAAATTTGGTTGCTGTTTGGTCAGCTTCAGTCCCAAGTCATCTTTGAATTGGAATCAGTGACGATGTTTAGTTTCCATGTTTGTCATGGCCGAAAATCCACTCTCGCAGAGGTATGTTGTGCAAAATGGTACAAAATATTTTATTACCGCTTCGCTGACATGATAATAATGATAATTGTACAATTAACACAATTTGTGTTAGTTGAACAAATTGTACAATTTTTGTTTCTTGCGTAAGAATTTCATTTAGGTATTGTCACAAATGCATTTTTTTTAAATGAAATTTGGAGAATATTTTTAGTTATAAAGGAATTTGTGCATTCGACATCATGTAAATTGCCGAATTTTTGATGGTTCACCCATTATTTTTTGATTGCGTCATCTCATGCATTTACATTTTAAATCGACTAATTTTAGATTGCTGCACGTACCCCTTCATGCAATTTCGTGTACTCCTGGAGGTACGCATACCACTAATTGGGAACCATTGATCTATAATATTTTTGGGGGGAGATAAAGAAAAAAAAAGATTAAAATCAGGCCTCCAGGTGCAATGCATCAAGCAAGGTGGATTTATTTATACTTTTTACTCTTTGAAAGTATGTTTGATGCATTCCAAAGTCAGAATGAACGCCAAGGACAAATGAGCATTTCAAGACGTTTGCTTATTTATTGTAACAGTTTACATAAAACCCTGGCTTGGATGCGACTTGGCAGTACAGGCGTCGTATCAAGATTTGTGCTTTTTAAAAACATTAAAAAAATATGAAAAAGTTGACAAATTACTTTCCCAGGTAGCTTTGACCAAGTTTTGTCAACACTTGTGGTACTTATCTGAGGAAATAGCCATATTATCACTATTCAATGATTTAGTCAACGAAACAACCAAGATGAAAATAATAGCTAACTTGGAATGGGAAAGTATATCTGATTTTGGGAAAAGGTTTATTTCATCAAAAGAAGAAATAGCCAGCTCTTTGTATGGTATGTAGAACTACATGTTTTGTTTGTACTTTAATTACAGTACTGTATATCTTATTTAAACTATACCTACTTTTTGTTTCAGGATTGTTTTGTGTCTAGGAAGAGCAAAAATCTGTTTACTAGGTTAAAAATTAAAAGCAATTTCCTTCAGGAAAGTGTTTCTTCATGGGAAGAAAATGCTTCTTTTGTGAAAGCTAAAAGAAAGGTCCTTTTTCTCAAGGCGGTGAATGATACAGCTGAAAGAGCTGTTAAATTAGTGCAAGATTTTCATGGGTTAATTACCGCAGATGAAGAACAGAAGCAGTTTCTTTTACACTGTGTGCAAGAACACAGAAAACTGTATCCAGACTGTAAAAAGGAGACATTGAACAGAAAATATCCACAATAATTTACATTCATACAAATTTTAAATATTCTTTGTTGTCTGATTTCCTTATTTACCCAATTATTTAATATTACAATGATCTAGTCATGTATATATATATATGTATGTATTATAATGATGTAGTTGAGTGATAGTCAAAAATGACTTTATAAAAACTTTGAGGTTTAGTTGGCACAGGTTATTGTCATCGTAGGGGATCAATATTTTATATGTAAGTAAGTCTTAGCGATTTGAAAAGAATTAAGGAGTATGTGTTTAAAAATTCGAAAAAAAATTTTTTTCTCCATATAAGGGACACCCTAATATATATATCTAAAAGTAATAAAACACAACATATTTAAGTTTAACTGTATTGATTGTATTTAGTATAATAATTGTCTGTTAGTATAATAAATTAGTAACATTTTAATGCTGTAATTGAGAATCATGAAGCAGTATGTTTTAAAATATTAATATTTTACACTTTTTTATTTTAGATATTCCTATTCAGAAGAGGGTCCAAATCACGAATTAATAACATTAAACCATCACAAGAAATGTTGTCGAGCTTTGAGTTTCTCTCATGATGGTAATCTTTTGTTCAGCACATCCAGAGACAAATCAATAAAAATAGTCGACATGAATGCAGGGTCATTGAGTCACAAAATAATCAAAGCCCACGAGTAAGTAAAGATCATAATTAAATTGCATTTAACATTATTTAAATAATAACATTTTTACTTTCCTGGCTGTTATGTATATGTAACAAGAGAAATGAGTTCTTTGCAAATCTCCCAAGTTTTGAGACCTGAATCCAAAACTGTCAAAAAAAATTCCATGGGTGTGTGTGTGTTTTTTTTTTTTTTTACAAATAAGTGCACTACTCCTATGGAGTATAACACTGAGAAATACATAAACCAAGAAATGAAAAATGATACAAAATAATAATAAAATAAGAATTCTACTTTTAGTGAAAACTGAAATGCTAGTCTAGAAATTAGAAATAGTCTTTTCTTCCATATTTCTTGAACATAGTTGTGAAAAGCATCAAACAGTGGCTTCTGAACTAGCTTGTCAAGTGGACATGGCCACCTGAAACCAAGAGTAAAGATTTTTAATTTCAGAATAAGTCTATTTTGTTCGTAAATTGGACAATGATAGATCATGTGGTCGATGGTGTCTAGGTTTCCTGTATAACAAAGGCAAAAAGCAGTTTCTGCAGGGTTATACATAGCCAGGTAGCTTCTAAAATACTGTTTCTCAACGTGCCTCGTGGGACATGGGCCTCACGTTGAGAAACAGTATTTGAGTACAGTGGGTGATCGGTTAATGAACATAATCTGTTCCAAGACTTTGTTCATTATCTGAATTGTTCATTAACCAATTATCGATTTATCATAGGTTTTCATGGGAATTTGATTAATTTGTACCGGAGACTCCAAAAAATAAAAAAATATATGCTTTTACTATGTTTATTTATATGTAATAGTAAATAAATATATATATATATATGCAGTCTTGCATTTTTATTAGTCATGTTTTTTCCATTTGTGGGTGTTAAAGAATCTGTCCAATGTCAATTGTTTTTCTCTTTTCTTCAGGATTTTTTGGAAGTAATTAATAGTATTGTAATTGTAGAGATCCCCAACTTCATTAGCCTTATTCTGGTTCGGATGCCACTTGGATGATCATTGTTCTGACGTCCCTGGACTTCTTATGTCGTTAGATCAGTTTCAGGTTACATTATGAGATCTAAAATGCTCTTTATTTCTCAGATGTGATTTTCATTACTCCATTAACAGCTTGAGACTTCTTGATATATCTTTCATAGCTAAGATTGTACCTACTGTAGACCTGTTCGAGCCATACTGTCTAGCAACATCAGACATCTCTCACCCACTTTCTACCTTAGCTATTTTCTCTTACTTGGTTTCTATGGTGAGCACAGTTCTTGACACTTCTCTTTTTAGGCATCTTAATATCATCAGTTTCTTTTTTAATTAAAAAGTTCAGAAAAGCACTTACAAAAATTCATAGAACAGAAATCAACTAGTCCACAAAAAATTATTTAAATACAAGGCCCGAATGAAATTCGAAATTTGGTATTAAAACGTTAACAAATATCTGATGAGACAGTTAAACTTTCGCCTTTCGTAAATAAACCCTGATGCAAAACTTAACAAGTGCCCATCCGACAGTCTCGCAAATACTATAGAAATTATTTGTCAGAAACGTAAACAAAAAGCTGGAATTACAAGGGAGAGTTTCAAAATTCGGAGGGATACTATCTGATCGATAACGGGTTGAGCATCGCCATCGATGTTGAAGTCTCCCATGCTCCGAAAGGTTTCGAATTGTTACCTGAAGATAAGGGAAAATCAATCGGTATTTGTTATTTTCCGTCGCTTCTTTTTATGTTTGTTTAGTAAAAAGTTCGTTATCCAAACATGTGTTCATTGTCCGATCATAAAAATCTTTCATGAAAGTGTTCGTTATCCGATTTGTTTGCTACCTGAACTGTTTGTTAACCGATCATGCACTGTAATAAATTATCTATTAGTTATGTATAAATACAGTATTTTGACAAATATTTTCTTTATTTGAAGTTATTAAATTTGTTTTTTTTTTATATTGGCATCTATTTTGTTTAATATCTCAGAATGGGGTAAAGATTGAGAAACAAAATTTGGCATAGGTTTTTTTTTTTTTTTTGATAGTTCATGACTGCTTCCCTCAAAATTCATGAAACAATGTATTTGAAAGCTTGAGATAAAAATGTTTTGTGATCTTTAATCACTAGCAAAAAAATTATTTTTTTTTTTGAGATCCTATAAGATAGTGGCATACTTCAAATTATGTTTGAATGTAATGCCATTTAAAGGATAATTAGTATGAGCCGCCGGGGAGGTTGGGACTTCTTCCCGGTGACCTACTTTCTTGTCAAGGATGGCATACCATTCAGTTACGCGTTACGCGAATGGAGAGAGTCGGAGGGATCGACGATAAGGGGTGAGCAAAGTCGAGTAACGACACCATTTAAAAACAAAACAACGGTTTATTTAATGTGCTAACTAAATAAAATTTTACAAAAACTCCACGGAGAGAGAGAGAGAGTTTACAATAATAAGCGTTCATACCTCTTAGCATATACTAGTGGGATATTTTCCCGTAAGGTCGTCCAAATGGATACTGGGCGGTGACCCAAGAATAGGTCGGCGACGAAAGTGTAGGTCAGCGATGGGAGTGTATGGCTGTGATGGAGAAGGCGATGTTTGACTTCAACGTTCGGCGAATCCCCCGAGAGGAGAAGGAGGATGGCTTTTATACATTTTGTGGTGGGAAAATTTGTCAGGTGACCAATTGTTTTCGCAGGTGTGGGGTTAAAATTGGTGTTAAAATGACAACAATATGACGAATTTCATCGATAATTGTAAACTATTCACGGATTGATCATGAGAATGTTTATAGTTAAATAGAAAGAGTTATAATTTTCTCATGCACCTCAAATTTCGTTTCTGCAGGTGCAACTTCCTCTAGTTAAAGGAATTTATTAAAAATTTAAAGGATTAAATGCTTTTATTACATTCTATAAACCTCAAATTTCACATTAGTAACAATGTTAATAACATCCGCAGGAAAGGAACAGAAATTTAAAATTTACTTATTTAACTTTACAGTTATCATAAATATAAATTTTTATTTTAAACTTTCTGAACTTTTTAAATAATTCAATAAAATACCCTTTTTCCCCCCCCTATAACTGCATTCTAATCTTAATGAATCAATTTTAAATTTGTGTTCTACATCATTCTATTTGTTTCAAGCCGAGGGTGGTCATAGAAAGACTGAAAATGTTATGGAGACATGGAGTATTTTGCTCATACCTTTGCATTTAATGCAACATAATTAATTTATCATTTAGTTTTCATATCTTTTTTATGATAACTCAGTGGTTTCCCATTTACACATTAAAAATCTTAGTTTAAAAATAATAGAGAATTATTTTCAAAGTAAATAGAAGTTAGAGTAGTTGCACCAGTAAATGACTAATTAAGCACCTTGATAAAGAGATTTGCATATAATCACTTAACAAACAGACATTTAACGTAAGTAATTGTCATTGTTGGTTACCAAGAGCTTGCACTACTCATTCAAAGAGTGAATTTTTAATTTTCTGTAATGTTTATTAAATTAACGATATAATGTTTTTAAAATTTAAAAATCATCAGTGAATAATAGTTGACCAGCTGAAGACTAGTGAATGACCACAAGTGACTAATAATGAATAACTAGAGCAGGGGTGGCCAAACCGTGGCGCATGCGCCAAACTTGGCGCATTGGACGACTACAAGTGGCGCTTCAGTGCAATTGACCTGTTGACCTTTTTTTTTTTTTTCTTTCTTTCTTTTTTTGCTTGCACGTTGCATACACCACTGATGTCATATAGACATCAGTGGTGTATTTTGTACGGGTAGCTACACTACAACCGCATTTTTCATTGCTTGTTCTGTGGCAAATCTGAACTTTCATCTTATAAATTGAAATACCTAAATAAGGGGTGGCCGAAATTTTTCTCCACCCCGGGCTGCTAACACTCACGGTACGCCACGCCACGCCACGCCACTGCGCATGTGAACTCATCTATCAAAAAATTGGCGCATGGTATGCAAAAGGTTGGCCACCCCTGAACTAGAGTTTTAGGATACTATATGAAATTTTATACTATTGTACACCATATACAGTATGTGTTGGCAATGTTATGTAATTCAGTCATGTAATTTCAGATTAAGAAATTGGAATAAAAATATTAATTGTTAGAAAAGGTCTTTAATTCAAAAACATCATATATACAATGTTATAGAAATTTCAGTTTGATAATCCATACAAAAATGTGTTTCATAGATTAGAAAATTATTATTGCAATATTGCCTAATTTATCTACTTATCAGATGCAATGGCTTTCTTGAAATCTGATAGAAAGTGAGATTCCATTTAATTTATCATCATTTGCAGTGCACATTTATGTAGTTCTCCATAATTAATTGATAAATCAGGTTAATTTTCAGAAAACAATTCCTTAAGCCTAGCAGAAATACATTTTGAATAATCCGCCCTATTTGGATCAAAAGGAAACAAACCCATGATGAATTGTTTCCAATTTCAAAGCTTTCTTGTAAGCTTCAAAGAATAAGTTAGTTTTAGAAACTGATTTTGATGATTGTTGCTTGTGTTTTCTGACATTTCTCCACTGACATTTAAGCAGTTGAAAAATTGCAACATTACAAGCCTGGATAATATGAGTTGCATTTGGCAACAAACAAAAAAGGAGAATTCTTTTCTCAACACAAAAATTATACAGTTTTTCATTTATATTATTATTATTGCTTCTTGATGGATTTATATCCATCAAGAAGCAATAATATAGGAAACTGGATATTCTTATCCAGAAGTCAGGTATAGAAGACATTTGCAACATATTCATAAAATGTGGTACTTATCATCCATCCTGAATCACTTCTGCCTACAGCAAAGCCATCTGGAACTGAATCTGCAATATGCCTTGGAATTCTCTTGTATGGAAACATTATTATAGGATCCACTTGCAGAAAAATTACACAAAACTGTGATACACTGTTTTTCTTGTCCTGATGCAATGTTATAAAAGTTCTTATATGCTTTAGGTACCAGAAGTTTGCCAGTTTTTGGACAAAATAACATCTCTGTTTCATTTGCATTGAAGATATGGGAAGGATTTTGCAGAATATCATTTGCATGTTCTTCTCTCAAATAATTATATAATTGTGACGTAGTAAACGCTAGTATTGTGTTTTATTCCAAAGACACATGGCAACTTTTCCATCAAATTCCTTTATTAGTTAAGTCGATACAGTATGTTGTTTTGTACTTGTTTCAGGCTTTGCCCCTCTTCAGTCAACTAAAATACAATATGTATTTTTTTAACTTATTAGAATAGAGAATTTACATAAAGCAATGAGTACATAAACGATATACAGACGTACCTTTTGGTTACACTTTGTATAATTTAAAAACATGTAAAATCTGCTTTAATCTTTTAATTTGTAATGTATACTAGTTTATTTACAAAAGTTTAAAATCTTCCAGAATCTTCCCTTTTAGGTAGATTTTGATACAATACAACTGTAAAAATGTTTAGCTGTTTCTGCCTTTTTCACCTTCCACACCCTTTTTGTCTTTTGTGCTGGTATCTCTAGTGTTACCATGTATAACGTTCACCACCTTGTGGTTTGATTTTTACTAAAATCTGTCTTGGAAGAATTATTTCTAGGAGAAATTGCTTTTCACAGAAGAAAAAATTTTTATTTATAATATATTAAGCCAGTTTTCGTTTATTTTAAGTCTTAAGTTTTTATTTATACTGTCTTTACTTTTAATGATTTCTATGGTTTCTTTAAACTTCCTGTTGTATGTTAATACTGCATAAAGAAAAATTAACATACAACAGGAAGTTTAAACAGGAGATGAATAATTAATGTGCAGCAATGAATGAACACATAACTTTGAACCATGGTCATTTACTGGTACAAGTTAGTTTTTTGGTCATTCACTCATACATTAGTTTGAAACAACATTCACAGATTTTGAATTTTGTGCTCAGAAACGAAATTAATACGTATTACTTTATCACCATTAAATGACCGAAGTGTTCCTTCACTGGAGAAGAATCACTTATCAGATCCAGTGAGTGACTATCCCCCTATCTACATACCTTTTAAAGGTTAGAATTAATTTTTGTACTAAAACCATACTTTAAATATCAACAAAACTATTTCTTTACTCAATGCTTAGGAAAATCAATAAATAATTATTTTAAAATGCTGCTATATGAATCCTTGCCACAATTACCTTATTACAATGCAAGCAAGATTACACCTTATACACGCATCTCAAGAAAGCTGCCATATTTCAAACACTATCACGCATTTCTGAAGAGGCTATTTCAATAATTCAGCACTTCTGATTAGTTTTTCTTGCTGTGGTGCTTATTTTAAACAAATTTCTGACAATACGGTCATTCACTGGTGCAACTAACCTAAATTTTTTGTTCTCAAAATTATGGATTAGTTTGAATATAATTCCCTTCATCAAACTGTAGTATTGATAAATTTGAATCTCTAATATTGTTTCCACATTTATAACAATCTAATCCATAAGTTCTTTAGTTGTTCTTGCTTAAATTAGGAAAAATTGTGATTGTCTTTAAGTTTGTATTGCTTATATTGACTAATGCAAATGAGACATTAATGCAGGTTTTTAAATTTTTAGATCTCCTATATATTGTTTACTACCTATTGATGATTATTTGTTAGCCACAGGTGATGATGATGGAAATTTTAAGGTATTTATTATTATTATTTTACTCTTAAATAAAATATTAAAAATGATATGCTTTCACTAAATATCTAAATACTTAAATTAGGTTTGGGATTTTCGACGGAAAACAGCCATTATGGAAAACAAACAGTGTGAAGAATACATTAGTGACATGGTTATAGATGAACAACGTAGAATAATAGCAGCTACAAGGTTAGGTTATGTTAGGTTAATTTGCAGAACCTTCTTTAACAATATTTTATGAAATTGAATGTAAAAAATATATATTTATAGATTATTTTTTCAGTGGTGAAGGTACGCTCACAGCATTCAATGTACGTGCCAGAAGGATGGAGCTACAATCTGAACTGTTTGATTCTGAATTTCTGTCTGCCGCTGTTGTAAAAGTGAGTTTTAAATTCTGCAAAATTTAAAGTTTATTTAAAATTTTGACTCTGTGGGTTATTTTGCAGAATGGCAGAAAAGTATTAGTAGGAACCGGAGAAGGAGCCATTAATATATTTAATTGGGGAGAATGGGGAAACATTAGTGATCGTTTTCCAGGTCATCCAGAATCAGTAGATAGAATAATTGCTATAAATAACAATATAGTATGTACTGGATCAAGTGATGGTAAAATCAGGCAAGTGGTAATTTTTTATAATCAGTAGACAAATAAAAATAATATATGAACTGCTAATAATTAAGATATTTCTTAAATAACTGGACTAAGATATAACATTAAAACTATTAATTCTGAGTTGTACAGCTTCTAGCAAATGTCTTAAATTTTTTTTACTGTAACCCTCTCTTGATTGAGTAGACATAATTCCCATCCAATTAGCAGCAATAAATTACACTTATTCAAGACTCAAATGTTACTAGTTACAGGTGAATACTTTACATTTTTATTTTAGAAGTTGTCAAAAATGAAGCAAAAAAAGTGAAAAAAATTTACCTAAAACTTACGCGTGCTTTGTCAAAAATCAAACTACTGGGACAAGTATTAGGAGACATTTCAGATGTGAAACAATTTAAAAATTTACTGAATTTTAGCTATTAGGCAAAATTGATATATTTAGTTTGTGATGGAAAATGTCTTCCACGTCAGATAACATTTTCTTGACCACGATAAGATTCATACAATATAATTTTATAATCATTTTTGAGTTTTGATTCATTTTGTCTTTTAACCCATGAAAATATGAGAAGACTAATTTGAAAAGCTGTAGGTTATTTATCAAATTTAAACTGCAATCACAAATATACATACATGGAGCAATGGCTTCTCCCACAGGTGTAGGCTTCATGCATGAAAATGCAGTAATTTTTTTTTAATGTCATGTTACTACTTGCAATTGTATTTGAATTGTTCTAAAAAAAGTTGAATTTGTAAAATTTTAAAGGTTCAAATAGATCTGTAGATCTACAAACATGTGACTTCTAATGTTGTTATTGTAACTGAAAAGCTTTGAAAATTACACATAATCATAACACAATTTTGCAGATCATTTGGCATTAATTAATTAAATTATCAGGTGTGCATATCTCAATTAATAGTTCTGGAAGTGAAGGTCCAGATGAACTTCAACTTTGTTGCCAATTACACTAAGTCCTGCTCTGGCCCAATTCTTTTCTTTCAGAAACTTTTTAATTAAAAAAATTAATTTATAAAAGGTAGATGGATAGCTGCCATCTTGTATTAATTAGTAAGTAATCATTAAAGTAGTCTGATTATTTGGCATTAATTACACAAGCAAAAAAAGTGGGATAACAAATATTTAATTAGACGAGTAGAAATAAAAATCTGCCATTTTAAGTTAGGCTATAACATCAGTGAATTGAAAAAGTTACAATGTGATTATTAGTGAAGCAAACATTTCTGAAAAATAAGTAATTTGTGTAAAGTGTGATATCATTTAGAATTTGTAATGTAGATCACTGTGTATCCTATAACAGGAAGTTAAGAACCATTAAGCATGTAGGCTTCCTAAATTGTGATTTCCTCACACTTGTATAACCAATAATCTACTGTTAATCCTCCACTACGTGTAATGCACGAGAATAAGAATAGATGTTGCAATATTGTTCTATTTATACAGTAACAAAATAAGCACCATTTACGTCAAAGTTTAAAAAGACTATATTTGTAATATTAAGATTATTAAAAGATATTGATGACTAAAAAAAACCACAAATCCCATATGAGCAAAATACACCCTTTGTGCACTAAACAAGAAACATCTAAAATTGTTGCTAGAATATTTTTCACTTTAATGATATGAAAAATTTCTGCTCAGTGAAAACCACAAATACAGGTATACCTCGCCTTATGTCAGTAATTGGTTCCAGGAAAGCGATGTAAGTCGAATTTACTTGTCTCCGAATCTACTTGTCACTAGGCTAAACCATAAATTATCATTCCCGGTTCTGTATTTTATTTATTAATGCATTTTTAATAATATATGGTTAATAAAAATCTATTTTAAGCTTACAAACAAATAAATTTTAGTTTTTAATATAGTACAGAAAAAAAGTCATCTAAATTTACGAATGCATGTACTGTAAATACAGTACATACTTGTGAATGTATATATTTTAATATGATTTTATGTGCTTTAAACTTACAAATAAATAAATTTTAGTTTAATATAGTACAGAAAAAAGTAATCTAAATTTACTAATGCATGTACTGTAAATACAAGTATATACTTGTAAATGTATATATTTTAATATGATTTTATGTGCTTTAAACACTTTTCTAGTGATATTACGACTTCAATATTTCTGGCGTACAGACGTAAAGTCGAATAAAATGACTTAAACTTGTTTGTCAAAAAGTATATGGAAAAATAAAAATTGATGTTTAATCGGGAGCGACGTAACTCAATGACGTAAGTCGAGGTATACCTGTATACAGATTTTATTCATTGAGGAAAAGTATACATAAACAAAAACATATTTATTTAATCAGAATGTTGGGAAATGTATATGATAAGTTTTCTTTTACATGAATGATTTAATAAAAATCAAAAGGTGCTAAACTGAGTGAATGGGGGTGGATGATCTAAAATTTCACAGTTATTTTTTGTTCTGTCATCAGTGATACAAGGGTGTGCACTGTCCTTATTTGTGTCAACCAGAAGAAATTCTTTACATCATCTAATTGCCAACAATGTCATTTAAAAAGAAACAAAAAACATTATCTTGAAATATTGTTTTTATGTGGCAATGGTACTTTCTAAAATTCTTAAAGCATATGTTGTTTTGAGTTTTCTTTTTAATGAGACCAAACCAGCACAATGTTAATTGTTTACTTCTGAATTCAACAATGACATTTTGCTTTTTTTTTTCCTCAATAAAACTTTCCCTGCACTTTAAAATTAGTGATGTAACAAATATTCGGTTACTAATCGGTATTCGGCCGAATACCTAAAAACAGGAGTAAGAAATACCAAAATGATTAATTTACTGTGTTTTTGATATTTAGATTTAATATTATCGGGTTAGTATTGTTTGTTTATATTTATTTATAACATGCACAAAATAAAAAAGAACATAATATTAGTCAGTTGTATTCACAATTTATAATTACAAAGATCAGCACACGTACACACTTATTTGTTCGAGAATCGTCGCACATCTGAGGGTCTGACCCTGCCTATCCTTCTTTTTAAGTGCTCGTCTTTGCTCTTCCCTTTCTCTTTCCTCTATCGCTCTAGTCCAAGTATGCCTATGCATACATCATAATATGCACTCATGATACTTTCGATTCGTCACTTTTCCGTCATAGATTTCCCATTTTACAATTATGTGACTCATAGCCTGGTGATAGAGAAAAGAGACAGATAGGACATCAGTATAAGTCACAGTTATGATTTCACAGATTTGAAACAGCTTTGTAGCCCGAATGACCCCAGGCTTTGGCCTGTGCACGCTAAGTGACTTTCATTACAAGCATTTAGCTTTCCGAAGTCTATGACAACAATTGTTTGGCATTCATGGCCTCGAACAAGTCGAGGCAGCTTATTGAGTTGATAACATAATCAACTTGTTCGATTATGTTATCAACTCAATTTCATATTTATTTTCACTTTGCGGTCCTTTTCTGTTCTTCCGTTATTTACACGTGTAGATCATTTCATTGTTATCCACATTTGATATCATCACTTATCACATACTGCCATGACACTCTTGTCTGAACTGTCAAGAATTAACGCAATTGGCAAAGCATAGTGACAGTGGGTCAATAGAGAGCAGGGTCCTTGCCATAATGTGGTTTGTGTGCCAATTTTCGTACGTGCGTTAATCAAGCCGAATAGTTTGGCCGAATATTTGTTGCAACACTATTTAAAATCTTTCTTACAGAAAGCTAATGCAAATTGCAAATTTTAAAATAGTTTCTAGTTAACTATAATGCTGCTAATCATTATAATTAAATAGCTAGTCATAATATATGTATAGGCCTATTTCAAATGAGAGAGAAATAATGGCAGTGCTTTCAGTTTGCTGGAGTGAAATATTATGCAAAATACAGGTTAATTTAACCATAACATGTAAACTGATTCTGATTGGCTGTTCAAAAATAATGCATTAATTGAATGCAGCTTAAAAGCTAACAAGTGCACTAAACATTTTATGATATAGGAAATTAGTATTGAAAACTTTTCAGATGCATTTAAAATCAAACTGATGATATACATATAAATTTGTTCAAATCTGAATGCTTGTATTAAAAATTTCTCTAAAACATATGTATAATGTAATTTATGTTGTTTGGTTAAAATGTGATATAATTACTAATTTATTTATTTTTTTGTAGGGCTATGCACATGTTTCCTCATAGGTTTCTAGGAATTGTTGGAGACCATGAAGATTTTCCAATTGAAAGCTTGAGTGTGTCTAACAATAGAAAATATTTGGCCAGTTGTTCACATGACCAAACAGTTAAATTTTGGAACATTTCCTCTCTAGAAAATGTGCTGGAACATCCAAATGAAAAAGGGAAAAGAAGGAAAACAGATTATCTGTCTTCATCTAAAAGAACAGACTTCTTTGCAGACCTGGTTGAATAAAAACTGTTTATTTAACAACGAATGTGATACAAGCTTACGAGTTTAAAAAAATACTACATGGGAATACTGTCGACCAATTTTATAAAAATGAAAAGTTGGCAGATTCGGAATGTCTTAAATAAATATATAAAAAAACTATATTACATTTGGATTGTGTATGTGTTTATTGCACAATTCCTTCTGGTCTCATGTAGATAGTGGTACCTCCCTGGACTGCTGCCAGTGACTGGTGAATGGGTGGTTGGAAACACCTCACATGCTCCACTGGCAAATTATCTGTGTCGCTGGTTTTTAGATATTTATTTAATATGGCAAAAATCTGACTGTTTAATACCTGAAACCTTCGAATGCGGTCTACCATTTTCTTTAGAGGCTGAACAAAAGAAAAATTAATGCATATTGTCAGAAAAAAATTTAACTGCCAATTTTATTTGATTATACAACATTAAATAACTTACAATTCCTTTGACCATTTCATCCTTTCCATCAGCACGCTGCACACGTAAGATATGGTAACAGAAATCCAAAGCCTCAAATCTTCTCTGTTGGCCAAGCAGGGCTATCATGGTGCAGCCTGCCCAATTCAATCCTTCTCCAAATAATTGTCTGAAAATTACATCACACATTATTTTTAGTCTACATTATATCTATTAAAGCTATGTTGCTGTTTTCCATCAAACATGATAGAGAATTAGATCACCATTCAAAAATTTATGATTCACTTTTCACCCATTTGTGCACTATCTTGATAATAAAATTATATTGTGTGAGAGAGCTTATTAATAAGAAATACAAATACTTACTCAACAGTAAATTCATTCTCTCCAACAGGTATACAATAAACAAACTGTAGTGCACTCCACAATCTGTGGAATTCTGTGCATTCATCAATATTCATTACACCATTCATAGGAGGAGTTCCAATCCAAACAGGATCATCCAGGAAAGATTTAATTCTAGTGAGAATTATCTCAAAAATAGATAGTCCACAACACAGACGTTCTTTTGTCAACAAATCTCCTTCTCTTGCTATAGATGATTGCTGAAAATACAAAAATTGACTAGTAGTACTATAAAATGCTCAATGAATATTTCAGTGTAGTTTAAAATTTTTAAATACAACAATAATATAAATTTAGGAAATGAAGAGAAAATTCTTTATAAGGTATTTTATTACTTGTTTTACATTTATGGGAAAGACAAAATCTTGATTCTTTTTATAACATGCACAAAATAAAAAAGAACATAATATTAGTCAGTTGACAAAATTTATTGAGATAATTATCTCAATAAATTTTGCAGTAATGTATATATGATTGTAAACAAATTTATACAGTGACTCTATTTAATAATAATGTATAACAAAAAATGTTTTAAAAAGGGATATAAGAATTTTTTTTATTATTTATCATAAAAAACATCTATTGATGTCTTAATTAATACAGTATAATTAATTTTGGAGTTAGTTTTTATTTAATTTCTTAAAAAGATATTTTGTGATAAATTTACGGGATGAACTTAAAACAAAAATTTCAGAAATAAAACTGACCTTAAAAAAACACACTTATCACAATGGAATGAATTACTCCTGAATATACTGCAAAACTGGTTCAGTTAATGCAAAAGAGATTAGTTATCTCCTTTTAAACAGAGAATTTATAATATTAAAGACTGTACTATAATAGTAATAATAGTCCAATAATAGTTTTACTTTTTTTTAAATTGAATATTAAATTGCAAAGTTGTAGAAACCAATCCCAATTTCATTTTTTTTAAAATAAGTTTTATACAATATTAATTCTCACTTTAAAACATGCATTCATTCTTTGTTATAAAAACAACATACGGTTGAATTTATTTTGTTTATTTGTATGTTGTTTAGTTTTATATATACATATGTAATGTAAATATTAAATGGTATCACTGTATATACTTTTCCCTGTCTATGGGATAAGACAGGGTGCAGATGTTGCACAAAAAAGAAATAGAATAATGCTAAAACAACAAAGAAAAGAAAACTTAACAATTCCTTAGTGTTAATAATAAATTGGCACTAAGAATGAATAGTGAAGTGATTCAATTTGAAAAATACCTTTTTGAAAGTATGCCTTGTCACCCGATTGGTTGATGGCCTTGGCTGCAGAAGTCCATTTCAATATATATTTATATTTTTTTCAATTTGACGATAACTTAAACTAAGTTAATAACTTTAAATTAACTACTAGAGTGCAGCCTATTATCCAGTCTTTGATTTACAAAAAAAAAAAAATTATATCAGTTTGGTGTTGCAAAAACTGATATGTCACAAAAACAGTAGATGTAACTTTGTTAAGAATTTCTCAACTGTTTTTGTCACACAGGGGGTGATTATTTTTTCATGCAAATTATTACCAGAGATAAGTCTTGGGTTCATTATTATGACCCAAAGAAAAAAATAAAGTATAATATTGTCACCCTTATTCTCATAGCCCATTAGGAAGTTCCAAACCACTTTTTTGCTCAGAAGACCATACCAACTAATTTTTGGAATGAGTAGTAGTAGTAGTAATAGTTTACATGGAAAATGACAAGGAGAAACATCCAATTCAGTGAAATATTGTGAAACTTTATGAACAGGGTCAAGAGAAGTATTAACAGTGTATAATCAGAAAGAAGTATCTTTGCACTACAACAAAAGAATGCCACACAATAAGGAAGTAGCAAAGATGCTTAAAAACCTAAAGTTAGAGATTATTCCACAACTAACTCACAGCTCAGATCTGACATCATCAGATTTCACTTTTTGAGATTTGATCTGATCTCAAAATTAAGAGAGCTGTTGTAAAGTCAATACTTTTTATTGTATGTGAAAGTTAAAGCTGTTGTAAGGAAATGAATCAAGGGAGAAGAAAAAAATCAAGTTTTACTATGCATGGAAATAAAAAAAATGGATTGAATAATTACACAAATATGTCACTATTATTTTTTTAACAGGATTATCCAGTAAACAATTTTTACTATTTTTTATAATTATTTTTTCTCTTTCAAAACTAATTTTATAAAGATACTTTATTATTTACAAGTGTTGATTGATAATTTTATATTGATCACAAAAATGATAGAAATGTTAAATAAAAAGAAGTAGAAAAATTGTATGTTACACAAAATTGAATTTACATTTTTGATACAAATTGCACAATTACTTTTTTTTACTAATTTAAATTTAACATTATAAAGTTAACAAAAATTCTTTTAGTTGCTTTGAGAAAGGCATAATTTAAAGACTGCAAATGTTACATATTTTTTATAGGTGTAACATTTACATTAACTGATTAAATTTTAATCATTTACTAAGAGAATTAGTTAAAAAACATAATATTCAAGTCTTTTTAATTTTCATTTTAAAAAGTAACAATTTATTTAAAGTTTTTTATTTATTAACCTTTTCATAATTACTTACCTATAATATTTCAAATTCACACTAAAACCAATGTGCCTCAACTTACCTTGCTAGTACCAAGTCTTTCAACATTTTGGACAACTTGCAGAGGTGCATATTTAGCTTCTAATCTCTTAAGTTTTGTTTCTGGTTTTTCACCATCTAATACAAAAATTGTATTCATTTTAAAAACTCATGAAAATTATAACATTATTTTCTTAAAGAAATATATGCAGATTTTACAAACAAATTGCTGTATTTTATTAACAATTTATACTCTGATTGAAAAAATTAATAAAGAATAAAACAATTGCTACTATATATATATAGTATCAAAAATGAATATATATAAAAATATTACAATTTAATTTAAATCTAAGGAAATACTAGAGTGTGATTTTATTGGATCAATTTTTTATAAAATATATATTAATATATTACAAACCTTTACAATATGGTCTTGGCAAAATATTTTGGAAAGGAGCAGCATGTAGTAAGTCACATACCTCTTCTTGTGACTAAAATTACAGTTATACATTTAAAAATTATTTAAAATTTAAGCAACATACAATTGTTTTTGTTCTTCAAAATAACTTACCAGACTTTGTTCAATTAGTAGACAAAACAAGAGTGCATTTCCCACCTCTCTAAAACTTTGGAACATTTCTGTTTTTACATCAGAATACTGAACAATATCAGTTAATTGTGCTTGATAATACTGCAGCACTCCTAATTGAAATTTTTAGATTTCATTTTATTATATATTTCACAGTATATAATACAAATATTGCAAGTTGTTTGGCTTTATAAGATACTCATTCATGTTTTTTAAATGTAGAAGGTTCAAATAAATATTATATATATATATATTGCAAAGTTGTAGAAACCAATCCCA